TCATAGCCAGAATAATGATTTCCAGTTGCAAGTCATGTCACTCCTCACCCCTTTCTCTTTTCCACTTCCACCTCCCCAACATGGAACCTTAAAATGACTTCCCTAAATTCTTTTTTTTTTTTTTAAGATTTTATTTATTTATTTGACAGAGAGAGACACAGCAAGAGAGGGAACACAAGCAGGGGGAGTGGGAGAAGGAGAAGCAGGCTTCCCACTGAGCAGGGAGCCCAATGTGGGGCTCGATCCCAGGATCCTGGGATCATGACCTGAGCCGAAGGCAGATGCTTAATAACTGAGCCACCCAGGCGCCCCATGACTTCCCAAAATTCTTAAGGTAAAGCAAAAACCTTTAAAATGGGCAGTGAGTGTCTGCATGACCTGGTTGCTATCAGGATCTCCAACCTCACTTCCCTCCACGCTCTTCATCATTCTGTGCTCCAGCCACATCGGTTTTGTTTTGGTCTTTTATAGGTACTCCAATTCTTCCTGCCTCAGGACCTTTGCACACACTGTCCCTGCTCTCCCTTGCTGATTTTCAGCCTACAGAGCTTTCAGATGGTGGCTCAATCTCATGTTTATAGGGAAATTGAGAACCCCTCCCAAGTGTTCTCCTTCAGGGCACTTTCCACAGTGACAAGCTTACATTTATGTTCTTTTGATAACCGTCTGTCTCCTCCAAACCTTTTAGGGCTATGAGGTCTTAGACTGACCCAACAACCAGCACGATGCTAGGCACAGAATTGTCACTTAGTAAATATTTGTTGAATGACTAAATAAAAGAAAGCAGGTACTGTGTTGGAGTCTGGGGATGCAAAAATAAATGAGGCATGGAACTTCCCAGAAAGAAGCTCACAAATTGGGGGTGGGAGGGTGCAAGCAGAGGAGAGGCTGACTAAACAGAGTCAGGGTGTAACAGGGTGATGAGCACATAGCAGAGGAGCAGGCCAGAGGAGATGGTGCTGCCTGGGCCCAGCTCACCACCCCCGGGTGAAGCTCAATCCAGGTGTCTGTTGGCTGATCTTGGCCCTCAAGGATCCTATTCCTGTGATGTTACTGCTCTGCAGCCACCACTGTATCCCAGCCATGGCCGTGCCACCCCACACTGCCACGAATCCTACAGGGCACTCTTCTCAGGAGCTGGGCACTGTTCAGGGTGCAGCGTGGTTAAAGGCTCTGGTTACAATTAGAGCATCATGTGGAGCACTTCAGTGGGAAGAGTTCTGTGCCTTCTGGACAATGACCTCATCATATCCTCAGGCCAACCCGGGGAGGTGGCAAAGGGTAATGATTTCTCTCCCCACTCTACAGGTGGGGAGACTGAGGTCAATAGAGATCACTGGACTTGGCCAGGGAGTGAGAACAGTCTGGGAACAGAGCTTGGCGGGAACCCAAGGCCCTCTCTCCAGGATCTGCCAGCCACACCAGTTGGCAGAGGAGAACTCCTCGGGCTGAGGACGAGAGCTGCAGCAGGAATCTGCAAAAGCTTGTTTACTTTGGTGCAGAAGGACATTTCATCACCTCTTGGAACCACAGAATGCTAACGCAGATGGGCCCTCAGAGATCATCTGATTCAACACCCTTGTTTTAGGAAGGAGGAAACTGAGGCCAGAGCAATGAATCTCCTTTGCCCTCCCTTTCCTTTCCCCACCCTACTGATAGTGAGTGGTAGGGCAGAGACTGCTAGCTGTCTCCCCAGACCCCTTTTCCCCTTCTTTGCCTCTATGGCTAGACTGTATTTCCTAGACTCCCTTGCAGTTTGGGGAGCCACGTGACAAATGTTCTCTCCAGTGGGATGTGAGAGGAAGGGCGGCATGCCACGTTGAGGCTGGGCTCTTTCAAACCTCCTATGCTCACAACTCCATGTTCTTTTCACTTCTGGCTGATTGGGATGTCAATTCCAAGGGCAACTTCGGGACCATACATTAGAGAAAGGCAGAGCTGCCATAGTGTGGGTCCCGGGAACACTGTGTGGAGAAGAGCCACGCGCTGACATGAATGCCTACGGCTGCTAAGAGAACCAGAAGAATAAAACGTCGATCACGTGAAGCTGCAGCTTTTGGGGGGGTGCTGATTTAGTTCCGCAATCTGGCCTAAACCTAATCTAGCTCACACGGCAGCCAGGAGAGCCCCTGCAAAAGCTCTGACTACAGGCAGTATCAGGTGGGGGAGACAGCAGGCTGACTGTGGAGTTCACTGTCAACCACTTTGGAAGGCCCCCACTCCCACTGCTGGAGAGGTTAGGAATGCCTGACTCCTGCCTCACTCGGTCTGGGAACTTGGTCCAAGCTGGCTCCCCAACTGTTTCATTTTCAGTCAGTAGATTGTCGGGGCTGGAATGGATCTGAGATGTCATCTGATTTATCCCCTGGCTCCAGTCAGGGCCTCTTCCAAGCCATCCACAGTGACCAAAAATCATGTTTCGATTTTTATATCCCTGGGCAGGAAACACCACAGATGTCCTTAAACACCTGTTTCATACCTCCTTGCTACGGTGTCAGAAGGTCCTTACTGAACCCTAAAACACCAGAGCTGGAGCACCCCTTAGCAATCATGTTGAACAATCTTTGTTTCACAGATGAGGAGACTGAGGCCGGAACCACACAGTTAAACAGTGGTCAAGTCAGGACAAGCCAGGACTCGAAGGCCCAGCTGACTACTCTTTCTAAGGTTCTATTTGCCTCCAACTCTCTCTTGCTGTTTTCTCTTCTTCTGTCCTAGAAGGTGATGAAAAAGTGCCCAGGTCCGTTTCACTGTGATCAATCCTTCCACCTTCTCCTGTGTCTCCCCCTCCTCACCCCCCAGGGGAAGCCCTTCCCAGCTGACGTGAGCTTGGCTATTTCTCTTAGAAGGCAAAGAGAAGATTAGGGAGAGAGAAATCTGTGTTGCCTACAAGGGAGGGATGTGTCCCAGGTGCACATTTGCTCCTTGGGCCTTGGTAGTGATGGCAGACTCTCTAGTGGGATCTCTGAATCCCTGTGAGAAGCCTGTAAGGGCCATTAAACCCTTGAATGTCACTGGTTGCCTGGGAGGGCAACCCGTGCTCTGGGAAAAGTACTCGGAGGAAGGGAGGGAGTGGCGGTGACCAGAACCTCTGAGCACAGCGTCTTGGCCTGTTGGGGCTTGTCTGGCTGCGTCTGGGCAGCTGGGCAGTTCTGCCTGTTAATATGAGAGCAGGATCCTGAGAGGTTGAGCTGGGGCCACGAAAGCAAACCTAGTTACTTACAGGGGGATCATTGTATGGTACTTTCTTGGAAAGACCTGGAAATTCCACATGAGAGCCCTGGCAAGTTGGGTTTGTTTTGTGGTTCTTAACAAACATAATAAAATAAACCCAAATGGTTACTCCCCACTCCCCTGTTTAAGGTGAGGTTGTTTATACACAGCATCCTTCATGTTTTCTGCCAAGTGACTCACTTGGACTGAATCACTAGAAAGTGGGCCTAGGTCCATCTGCAGCTGCCCTGGACACCACGAGCTGCTCATTGCCCTGGAGGTGGGGGTCATGGAGCTCTGGAGACAGCAGAGAGGAGTGGAGGAATGGGGTGGGGTGGAGAGTCAGGCCTGAAAGGGAAGTCCATACTCATAGTTTCCTGAGCATCTGGTGGTCAGACAGGACTCCCCGATGGAACTGACAAGATTCCCCAAGGAACTCCAGTCTTCATTTCAGTTGAGACATCGTCTAGATTATTGCAAATTCTGAACTGTGGGACCAGAATTAATAATGCCACACAGTCCTTCACAGGTAAAACTCTTAATCTTTGGGTCTAGCTTCAGAATTTTGAGCAAATTATTTTCCCATTTTGAGCCCCTCTTTCTTCAACCTAGAAATAAAAAGGCTTGCAGTCCCTAAAATACAGACATTTTATCCTTTATTTACCGGGAAGGAAAGGGATATGGACACAAATGGAAGTTTATTTGCCAGGAAATTTTGTTTTCACTAAATCTTTGAATCTCTCCCCTGAAAGTTTTCATTTAAAATTCAGTGATCTCTGTGTGTCCTTTTGTTTAATTTTTGATCTGCAGCCCTTTTTCTAAGTATGAGTTTGCCTAGCCATGCCCCAATTCACAGTTTTCTTTTCCCTGTGGCCTGTTTGGGTGTCCTGGAGGTGACATTTCTGCAGAACTCTTTGTGTGAGCCAAAGGCAGTGGTCCTATGGGGATGGGAGTCCAGGCTTGAGAAGGCTCTGGAGAACAGGGTGACTCCCGCGCTGGCCACAGGGTGAGGTGTTAGGCTTGGCAGCAGCGACCCCCGACACCAACCCTGGGGCCTGGAGGAGGTGTGGTGGTGGTGGGAGGGGAGGGGGGCAGTTCACATTAGCAAGGGGCAGTGACCACGCGAGGTGGGAAGAGGGGGACAGGTTCCACTTCTCTCCCATATGAAAGCACTTTGTACAATCTAGTTAGTGCTAACCACATCACCCGGTACCCGCTTTTCACCCACTTACTGCGCATTTAAGGAGTTGGGAAATTCTGGTCCCCGATTGGGAGGACTCGGTTTTTCTGATTTTTCTCCCAACGGCAAAGCAACCTCAATGGGGGTGGAGAGGGCGTGTGTGTGTGTGTGTGTGTGTGTGTGTGTGTGTGTGTGTGTGTGTGTGTGTGTGAGACCAAAGTTGGCCGGCTGTGTGGACCTCACCCCGCGGTCCCCGGCCGGCCCCCGCCCCCTTCCTGCCCTCTCCCCGCCCCCGGGCCCGGCCGCGCTCGGCCGGTGATGTCAACCCGAGGAGGAGCCGCCCGCCGCCCGCCGCCCGCCGCCCGCCCGGGCTAATTAGCATGTAGCGGCGCCGGGGCCGCCTCCGCCTCCGCCGCGCCCGCCCGCCCGCCCGCCCGGCCCCGGCCGCCCTCCCGCGGCTCCCCACAACTTTTGAGGCGGGGACTGCGCTGGCAGCCCCACTTCGCTCACTTCCCCGGCCCCGCGCGGCGCCCGCCGCCCGCCGCCCGCGTCCCTCGCACCCGCGGCCGCCCCGCGCCCGCCCCGCGCGCCGGGCATGTGAGCGCGGGCGGGCGCCGCCACCATGGCCTCGCCGCCGCTCCCGCGCCCGCTGCTGCTGCTCCTGCTGCCGCCGCTGCTGCTGCTCCTGCTGCCGCCGCCGCCGGCCGCCCCCGGGACGCGCGGCCGGCCGCCCTCCCCGGCCCGCCGCGCGCCGAGAGGGGCGCCCCTCGCAGGAGCGGGGCCGGCGCGGCCGCCCGAGCCCGGCCCCGGCCCCGAGCGCGAGCCGCCGCCGCCGCCGCCGCCGCCCACGCCGCCCCGGGAGCGCCGCCGGCCCGCGCCCCCCGGCCCCAGCCGCACGGCCCCCCGGCCGGCCGCCGTCACACGCCGGGGACCCTCGCGCCGGGCGCCCCGAGGCGGGAGCGCGGGTGAGTGAGAGCCGCGGCCGGGCGCCGAGGAGCCTCGGGCTGGGGGCGTGGGCGCGCTTCGGGGCCGCATCCCCTGCCCTGGGCCCCTCTGCGAGCTCGGTCCCGGCCGGGGGTCCCCCGCTGACCCAGGTCGCGGCGGGGGGGGGGGGGCGCGTGGGAGGGCGGCGAGCGGGAGAGTGGCTTTCCTGGACGTTTTTGCTGGTGGCGGGACTGGGGGTGTGACCGTCCTGTTCTCCCCCCCCTTGGAAGAAAACTTGTTTTCCGTGGTACACCCTGGACGTCTCCCCTCATACCTCCCTTAGAAAAAAAGAAAAGAACCCCCACGCGCCCCCGCAAACCTTCCGAAAGCGCTTCTCCCACCTTGGAGGTGATAACATCTTCCCGTCAATTCCCCAATTCCATTCTTTTCCTGTAGATACAGAAATGGCCTCTCCAGGTACAGAGCCTAACTTTCGAATATAAATAACTGATTTTTTAAGGGTTCTAGCGCTGAGGATATTGTAAAGGACAAAGGATGTAGTTGGAAACACAACACTCTACGGGCTCACTCTAAAAGCAGAGGAGGAACTGGGGCGACGGTATGGCAGTGGGGGGTTGCAAGGGCAAACCCCTGCAAGGCAGACGGGGACACTGGACTGTCCCTGAGCCTTTCTTCCGCCCACCCCTTTCCTTTCCCGACGGGCCGCTGCTTCATACATAGCCACTGCCTATCCTGCTCAGAAAGGGACCTGCCCCCTCTCCTCTGGACCTTTTTATGCAGTTCCTTCTTTAGATCTGGAAGAAATGCTTAGGACCCAGTGGAATTCCAAACACAATACCATTGTGACCTTGGGGGTGTCACCTCTTTTGATCTCAGTTTCTCCATCTGTGAAATGGAAGTAATGATCCCGGTTCCCCTTAGCCTCCTAGCGATGGCATGACAAAATGAAAGTAAAAATAAATGAAAAGTGCTTTGAACAGGCAGCAATGTGGTGGTGTTAGCCACTGCCTTCCTGTGGGTGACTCAAGGCATATGCTCTCCTCTCAGGGTTATTCTGGAACAGCAAGGTTGCTGGCAACACTAGGTATTGATTCGAAGTTTAGGTGAAGGTTGAGAAGGTTTCGTCTTCCTAATTGGCACTTCATTTAAGTTTCTCGTATTAGACACACTATCCGGTATAGGAATTAGCTGGCTTCGTTGAACCTAGGGATGCTTCCTCTAATTAAATAAGAAAAAAGTTTTTTTAAAAAATGGTCAGGTCCTCAGTAAAAACTCAACTCCATCTTCAGTAGTTCTCCCATCATTGGAGAATGCCTTGTCCTTGTGAATTTCTAAGCCACTGGCCCGAGACTGAGAAACTGAGGAACAGTAAGGGAAGGGAGGGGAGAAAGAAGCTTTAAAAGACCTACCAGAGACATACCCATTGTGACTCTGACTTCAGATGACTTACAACATACATTGTTTTAAGTTCCATGGGAAGGAATCAACAGAAAAGAGAATGTTCCCTGGCTTTCTCACACTAGAAAAGTAACTAAGGAACACTGTGTAGTATTCTGTGGGTTTTCTAAGTGGAGAGGGAGTGCAGGGGATTGAGGTCCTTTCAGAGGAGACACCCAAGAACTGGAGGCAGGTTTCTCTGGTTGGTGGCCAGGCATTCTTACCTGTGGGGCCCCATCTTATTAGGGATGGGTGGGAGGGATGCTGATCTGTGGGGACACTGGTTGGATAAGGCTTGCACACGAGTCTCCTTCCTTTTCACAGCTGGGCATCCCCACACATCACAGAAAGCTGGGCTTTACAGGGAGAGGGACAGTGGAGGGAACTGGCTTAGGGGACTCAGCAGGTAAGAATTGGGGCTGATCTCCTTTGCTAGTCAGGGACACCCTGCTACCCTAAGTGACCCACACTTCTTCATAGGTGTGGCAGTAACGCTGCTAATCTTGGCTTTGCAACCTTCCCAGTTTGATGTATTTGGGGTGCTGAGAGCAATGGAGGCTTCGGGTGCATGAGGCTTTGGAGGAATGCACGTAGAGATCCCAAAAGCAGGTAGCAGGAGGCAGAGTAGTCCAAAACTTCTCCTGCCTGAGCAGGTCTCTCCTGGCACCCCCACACAGCCCACCCAAGTCATGCCTGCTCTTAAGGCTGGATCTCAGGTGGGATGTTAGAAAGGTGAGATTAAGAGAGGAAATTGATTACCTGTTGAAAACTGTTAGAAGCTTCTAATATGGCTGAGGATCTGGTGGTGGTTCACACAATGTCACTTAGAGGGAAAAGACAATGAACAAGAAAGCCAGCAGTGATTTCTGTGAGTCTGAGTTTCCTAATAAACTCTCAGGCTTTTCTTTGGACCCTTTTTGATTGGTCACCATGTCTCACAGAGTAAAATCAGTTATTTCCCAAGGCAACCAATTCTCAACACTGAAAGAGCTTCCAGAGGCCCTCTGGTCCACATTGAGTCCCACGAGGATATCTGCCCTTCCAGCACCCCTGACAGATGGCCATCCAGGCTCTGTCGTAATGTTTTTGTGTTTGGGAGGTGCTCGCTCCTGCAGGTAATGAGCCCTAAGTCTTAGAAATAATGTGCTTCATTTGACTGTTGGGGAAACTGCCTGTAGCCCCTTCTGCTGTTGGCATACTGGTGGTCAGTGCCTGGCACACATGGCTTGGGCTTCTGGATACATGGGTGTCCACAACAGGGACCAGAGATGTCCTTTTCTTCCTTGGGGCCATTTCTAGCCCTTTCCTCTTGGCAGAGTTCAGGACTCTCGCTACTGAGTAAGCACACTTGTGTTCCCTCTGTGGGGTGTTTGCCTGCATTAGGCTGCAAGTCCCCCACTTGTGTACCCACCTATCACCCTGCCAGCTGTTCAGATGAAGTTCGTTGCTGGTGTTTGAGCTGGTGGAGATTGAGAAGATGCTAAGTCCTAGAGATTTTCTTTTTCTCGGTGTGTGTGTGTGTTTTGGAACAACTTCGGGCTTCTGAGCCGCAGTTCTGAGTGCTTAAGTTTATATGCCTTGATTTTTTTGTGCTCCATGGACCATGCTTTAATTGTGAGATCTGCAGATGAAAAGGGGAAGAAAAAGGCTTAAGTCTTAATGAGAATCAATGCAGAAGGAAAGAACTTTCCCACCCAAAGGGGAAATGACGTTGAGTAGCTGAGCAGCTAGCCCAAGGAATAATAATCTTAGAAAAATGCAGCTCCCTCGAGCAAAGGAAGCGCTGTGAGCCCAGCCCCTCCTGGGCTGCTACATAGCTGTCCCCTGAAGTGCTGTAACTTTTCAGGCCAACTAGCTGGAGCTGCCGGGGGAGAAGCATTACACCATGCAGCAAAGCCCCAGGCTGGGCAGGAGGCGGCCCCATAGGGAAGAGTGGGTGGCTACCTCTCCCCTGGCTGAGGCTGGGAGGGGTCGTGGTGGGGGTTCCTGAGAAGCCTACTTGCTTTGATGGAGGCTGCTCAAAATAGAAGGAAGGGTGTGGGGAAAGGGATTCTCTGTGGCGTGTGTGTGTTTAAAAGCCACATCCTTTTAACCTTGCAGGAGCCCTTTTATTGCTTCCCTCGATGGGTGTGCAAATGCCGAACTGGTGTTTTCTGCCCAAGACCTGAACTGGTGTGGGTAGAGGAAGAACAAAAGAGGTTCGGTGCCCAGCTGGGCAGTGACCACGTACTTAGTCCTGGGGGGCTGGGGAAGGAGTCTGTGCCTCCTGGTGGTCCCCTGTGACTTCAGGGGCCCTGCCGAGCTGGCTGGGAATGGTGTTCTGCCGTCTCAGAGAGTCTCACAAAGCAAGCAGAGAACAGATGACAGTCTGTACCCCGATTCAGAGGCTATAAAATTGTTTTCTTTCTAACGGCTGTGCATGCTCTCTTCGACCCATTGCCTGTTCATCTTGCACAGACGGAACAAAGATGTTTCTATCCTGGCTTTCCCCTCTTGTTGGCGTGTGGCAGATGTGTCAGGCTGTGTCAGTTTGGCTAATCTGTAAGCCAGAAAACACTGACAGAGCTCTTTCTGTGCCTGGGGAGCTCTGCCAGGGGATGGGGTGCCCCCAGAGGACAGGAGCCTTGTTGGAGCACCGGCATCCACACGGTAGCCAGTAAAATGATGGTGTGTTAGTGATCCGGAACTGAAGAAAGGCCACAAGGAGATCATACTGACCCAAGGAATGGTGTAGAGAGAGGTGACTGGAGAGGTGGAGAGGTTGCTGGGGGCCGCTAATCCAGGCCGGAGGAGGGTGTGGACTGGGATGTGGATAGCACAGAGTGGGTAGGGTATTGGCATCAGCAAAATCCCACAGACTGAAAAGCTCAAGACTGACACCTACCTCTTTTCCTTTTCTTTTTACAAAATTTATTTATTTATTTTAGGGGCACCTGGGTAGCTCAGTCGGTTAAGCGTCTGCCTTTGGTTCAGGTCTTGATCCCGGGGTCCTGGGATCGAGCCCTGCATCGGGCTCCCTGTGCAGCAGGGAGTCTGCTTCTCCCTCTCCCTCTGTCCATCCCCACCGCTTGTGCGCTCACTCTCTCTGTCAAATAAATAAATGAAATCTTTTTTTAAAAATTAGAGAGAGAGAGAGCGGGGGTGGGGAGGGGTGGGGGGAGAAGGAAGGGGCAGAGAGAGGGGGAGGGAGAAAATCTCCAGCAGACTCCCTACTGAGTGAGGAACCCAACTAGGGGCTCAGTCCCATGACCTGAGCCGAAATCAAGAGTCTGGTGCTTAACCGACTGAGCCACTCAGGTGCCCCTGAAAAGCTTGACTTTTCAATTGGAAGTGGTCAGTGGCCAGGAAGTCCGGGGAAGAGGAGACCTGTTAGGGTCCAGAGTCAGTGGAGTGGAGACTGGACTGGAAAGGAGGATTCGGGCCGATCTTGGAGGGCTTTAGAGGCCGGCTTGAGGCGTTTGTTTCTGTCAGTCTGCACTGAGGAGCCTCTGAAAGCTCTTGAGGAAGGAGTAGTACGTTTGCTTGGTCAGTGTTCCTTTGTGTTTGGTGCTGGGGCTCACGGATGAACCACATGTGGGTCTGCCCTTCCTACAGTCCAGGACTCACGTCAGAAATCGGGGAATGCGGGCACGCAGTTTATCAACATGTTGGGAGGAAAACACTGAAGGCACAGACTGGAATGGGGGCAGTGGACATTGAAAGGGAGCACTGCAGGGACCATTTACAGGAGGAAGGCGGGAGAGCCTGGTCACTGCCTGGCCGAGGGGATGACGGGGACAAGGGTAGGAACTGGCTTGCCTGTCGAGAGGCTGCCTCGGTTGGAGGTGCTTTCACCGTAAAACCTGCAGCCTGTCCCGGCGGAAGTGTCATGCAGACAGTCGTGGACGTGGACCTGAACGAGGGGGAAGCCGGGCCCAGCGTCAGCCTGGAGGGGTGACCCTCAACGGCAGCGGGAGCCACTGGAGAGGAGGAGGCAGGCTCTGACCCGGCCAGTGTAGATGGTGAGAGAGGAAGCGGCACCAGCCCAGGGCCAGCCCGGCCTGCAGGTGCAGCTGCGAGCGGGCAGTTTGGAGGCCGGCCGTGCCTGGGCAGCGGATTCGAACGTAGTGCCTGGGTTATGCGTAAAAGGCGGCTGTGGAGGTGCATGTAGGTTAACACAAACCTGCCTGGACTTGCTGGCTCATCCTGGTATTATCCAGGTTAAAGGGAAATAGGAGCCGGGGAAAGACCACGGGATTGATCCTGACAAGTTCGGGGGAGCCTGTGAGAGCGCAAGAAGTTTGCTCACCTTGGGGGCGACAGCAGATGCCAGCCGCGTGAGGCGAAGTTTAACAGAGACAGCAACTCTTGATTTCCACCCCCTAAATCTGGTGTGGACTCCCTACTCTGCCATCAGGAATTGGCAACATGATCCACTCATTACTTAAATGAGAAGCTGAGAAGCACTCAACATGCATCTCCTTCCCCCACCCTCTGCATCTCTGTTCTAGTTGGGGAAGGGGACTCCAGTTGCTTCTGCTTCTCCCTAGATCGCAGATCTGCCCTCACAATCTGCACAGCTCTGTTTTGCTCTCCCTGCCTCCACTCACGTGCTCCCTCGGATCCACCTTCACAGAGCCCAGAGCGATCTTAAATGTAATTCAGGTCACCTCACTCTCAGGCTAAAAACCCTCCAAGGGCTTTGCATTGTACTTAGGGTAAAATAAAATAAAATAAAAAATCCAGACTCCCTGCTGGAATACCAGGTCTGCAGGACCCGCCCTGCGGACTCCCTGGCCTCTTCTTGCCCGGCTCCCTTTCTGACCATGCCGGGCAGTTGCATGTCCGTGCCAGACCCCGTCCTGTCCTGCAGACTTGGCGTGCGGTGTCCACTGCCCATAGTGGAACCGGCCCTCCAGGCGGGGGAAACAGCCAGTGCAAAGGCCAGAACCAGCTTGCATGTCTTGGGTTTGGAAAGAAGGAAGAGCACTGTGGCTAGATCACCGAGGGCCCCGCGAACCGTGGCAGGAAGGTCAGATTTTCTGCTTGGCACCATGAGGGGGTTGAGCAGAGGAGTGATGTGGAGAGTACGCTGGGAAGACAAGACAGGAAGTGAAGGTGGAAGGCAGGGCCTAGTTCGGTGCCTGACACGTGGTAAGCACTCACGGTATTTGTTGAATAAACGGTTGCTCAAAGGGAAAATAGGTCCAAATACAAAAATTGGAGGTAGAAAGAAGAATGCATGCTTGCAGTAATATTTCTCTGACTGAGCAGCCCTCGTGTTCTTGGATCATCAAACATGGGACGGGCAACACCTTCCTCAGGCTTTACCTCTCAGTGCAGTGGGACAGTGGACTGGACAGTTGTGTTCTCCAGCCGAGGGAGAGCACGGAGACGCAGTCTGGGGTGCCTGGGCTGCTCCCTTGTTGGCCCAGGAGCTGTCGGAGGGCAAGGCTGCATGTCCCTGTCAGGCAGGCGGCCCTCCCTGACATTTGTTTCTTCTGGAAGCCCACCTTGCTGTCAGTCAACAGTGAGGCCATGAGGTGACATTGTTGACTTAGGCTCCAGACAAAGTGCAGGCATTGAGGTCTTTCCAAGCTGCATCGTCATCTTTGCCTTCTAAAAATCATAACATTTCTTTTTTTCCGATTTTATAAGTTTTATGTGTGTAGCATATACGATTTGGAAGTTAGAGAAAAATGAAAGCAACAAATAAAATATCACCTATATTCCAATTACTAGAAGTATATTAAAACATTAGCAATTGTTACATTTTTCATTTATAAGGAATATAAAATTATGTATTTCAAAATAGGATACACAAGGGTACCTGGCTGGCTCAGTCAGTAAAGCATGTGACTCTTGATCTCGGGGTTGTGAGTTTGGGCCCCACATTGGGCATAGAGCTTACTTAAAAAAATAGGACACACCCCCACACACACCCCACATATATATGATACATGTGTATTTCCATATGATATCCAGAAAGGATACCATTCCATTATAACTTTTAGCTATGTCTTTATTGGATATATAACTGTTTCCAGTTTTTCACTGTCATAAATAACGCTGTGATGAACATAGTTGTGCATCAGTTTTTATATTTGTCTCTGATTATTTGCTTAGTGTTAATTCCTGGATGTGGAAAATTTTAAGATTCCTGACACTGCTCTACCAAATGGTACCCAATTATTTCAACAGCATGGTATGATTGTGTAGATCTCACTACACCCTGTGTATTAGCAGGCAGATTGATTAAAATACAGTAGCTTTCTCTTGCCTTTCTTTTTCATCCGGATGTCTTCTGAGAGTGGTGTGTGTATGTGTGTGTGTGTGTGTTGGGTGTGGCCAATCACAGCATCTCTCTACTAACCACATTTCTGGAAGCTTCTGGGGCTCCACCTCATCCTGTGGTGGGAATCAAGTTGAAGAGAGGATGTTTTGGTGGGTGACAGACTTTGCAGGGCGTCTGACTAGCAGGAACGTGGCGGACACCGCTGATGGAGGTGGATTCCTCCAGAGCCGGCAGGAAGCTCTCCAGCATGTTGTGTCAGCGGGGCTACATCTGGGCAGGGAGGCAGCCTAGTCGAATGCTGTGGGCAAAGTGGCCAGGCAGAAGGGAAACACAAGTATTTTAGAAAGAACTGGAATGCAAAATTTGGGATGGGGCAAGAGAATGCCACAGGGACCTTGGGATCCTGGACACAGGGATCTTTCTAAATGAGAGTCATTTCATTGGCAATAACTGATCCTTTAAATTGCGGCATACTGGGCGAAATTAGATGTCTGTTTTGGGTCTGTAAGAACATTTTGAGAATCCTCTTCACATTCAGAGAATCCTAGACTCTCTGGGTTTAAAGGGACCTTTATAAAGCTTTCTTGGAATGCCTGGGTGGCTCAGTCGGTTAAGCCCCAGACTCTTGACTTCAGCTCAGGTCATGATCTCAGGGTCATGAGATCGAGCCCCGAGCTCTGTGCTGAGCGTGGAACATGCTTAGGATTCTCTTTCTCCCTCTCCCTCTGCCCCACCCCCAAAAGGCTTTCTTTATTCATTAAATGATAGACTTATTTCCAAAGTAAGTAGGGAAGGGAAGGGGGCTCTCACTCTTTTGGCTCATCTCCCCTGGTTGATTTCCAGCCAGGGTGAGTAAATTTTACTTTGTGCTCAAACTTTTGGTCTCTTTGTTCAGGACATGATACAAGATGAGAGGTCACCTTAGATTGGGAGATATCTGACAAATCCAGACACTTCCAACTGAGTGATGTGACTGGCTGCATTTCACAGACAGTTATTCCCAGAAAGGTTCTGGAAACCAGTGAAGCAATTTCACAGCCAGGATAGTGACAGAGCTATAGCTGGGTGTGGAAATGGCATTCCAATAATGTGGAGTGGCCAGACGTAGAGGCTCCGACCACTCCAGAGGCACCAGAAGGCTCAGGGTCAAGGTCTGGCTCTGCCTCTTAGACATGGGGTGACTTTGGGCATATTGCTTCCTGCCCTGGGCCTCCATTTCTTTACTTAAGAAATAAGGGGTTGGTCCATCCCGTGCTAAAAGCTTCATTTCTAAGGGTGTCGGGTTTATCCTGTGAATACCTCCTGACTTCCCTGATGCCGGCCTGAAGTGTGAGGAGACTCAACACCTGGCTTCTTAGCTCAGGGTCCAGGAGCTGTGGGGCCTGTGTGAGGGACATCTGTGAGCCTGCTGGACCTCTAGCTCCTTGAGAGGAGGCATGGGTTACATCTGTCTTCGGCCCTGGCCCAGGGAACATCTGCCCAGGTGGTACTGTGGCAGCTCCTGCTCCCACGTGACCGAGGGCTCCTGTCATAAGATCTCCTAAGGAGCTACAAAGCCCATCTCTAATTCCACAGAGCCTGTTAAAAATGGACACATTCCTTTTGCTCTATACTTTGGTTCTGGGGTACTTGAGCTTCACTGTACTCTCGTGGCTTTCCCGCCACGTAAAAGTGTTCGAGGAAAGCTACCAGGGCAGGTGGTGTGGTGGGCAGTCTCTGTGCTCTTCATTCCTGTGGTTGTGGGGGCCTCACGGGGAGGCTTCGATCTCGCTGGAGACCCTGAATAACAGCAGCCCCTATGTCTCTGCTGGGAAGGAACTGGGCTACTGGAAGCAAGGAGACGGATTTGACATGTGTGACAGATTTCTGCTCAATGTCTTTGATAAGTCGGGAGATGAAGACCAAGGAGGAAGACGGGTGACGAGAAGTGGGGGAGGCCAAGGTCAAGCTCGCTAGCTGACCCTGGGCCATCCTGGTCCATGTGCACTGAAGCAGTCCCTTTGGAGGACAGTGGGAATACAGGAGAGAGATGCCAGGTTGGAATCTGGTCATTGTTCTTTGTGCAGGGTCGTGACTAGTGATCGTCATGAGTTAGGCTGGTATTGAAAAACCACTCCATTTTTCCTTCCCGTAGTGGTAGGGGGAGATGGAAACAGCTTCAACATGGGGATGAATGTCACACCTGTAGCCTCTGGGCCACCTGGATGTTTTCTGGAATCATCTCTTGCCAGGGTGTGGAGAAGAACCCTGTGGCTTTGCAGTCACGGACCTGGGGCGGTCCGGGCTTGGGGGTCAGGCAGCCTCAGTTCAAACTCCAGTGGTACCATTTGCAGGCTATGGGACCTTGGTAGGTTACTCAGCCTCTCAGTGCCTTCAGTTTCTCATCTGTCAAATGGGCTAGTAATGGGTCCTACTTAGGGAACGTAAGTGTCCTCTATCTCTGTAAAACAGATTGCTTGTGGCCGGGGCAGGAGAGCTCTGTAAATTCTGGCCATGATGATGCTCCTGAAGCCAATGCCTGTGTATCCTGACCTTTGTATTGATGACAATACCCCCTTCACCTCCAGGTTCTTTGGATGGGGGACAAGTTCTGAATGCAAGGGGCTCAAGCCCACCTTCCAAGGACATTTGTTACTTTATCCCCCTGCCCACACATGGGCCCTGCCAGCCTCACTTCTTGGTATTCCTAGAACTTTCTCTCCATCCTTAGCTTCAAATGCAGGGAGGAAAGAGCAAGATTTGAAGACTTGAAGTCAGAAAAACTAAGTGCCACCCACACAGCCCTCACCCATAATCATCAGAGGAGACTAGATTAATGCACACGGAGCAGTAAGGATTCGATAAAAGCAGTATGTGAGGTGTGACTCCAAAATAATAGGCCTTTAAGATCATAGTAGGACCTCTGTGGCCAAAAGGTATTCTCCTTCAGGTCATACTCTTTTGAGGTTATTGACACACCCCTCGAAAAGCATTTGAAACAGTCTGGAGCCACCTGTCGAGCCAGTGCCTGGGTCACAAGACAACTCACTGGGATTTTCTTTGCACTTAAACATCATCCTGGACCCAGAATGGGGCTACGTATCTCAGTCTCCTGCCTCAGTCACTAGATTGGGCTTTGGCTTTTTGTCTGTCTCCAGAATAACCCAAAGCCATTACCAAGGGATGGAAATGTGTCATTTTTCAGGAAACTCGAGACTATTCCTTAGGCTCTGTTGAAGATGAGAGGATTTTAGGAAACAGCTTGAGGAATAACAGCGTTATTGGAGTAAGTATGGTCTAAATGGGGTCTCTTTGAAGAGGACCATGTTCGTTGGCAGGTGGATTGCTGTGGTCGATTAGGAATTATTTATAGTATAGCCATGCCTGGTGGTAACGCAGTGTACTACTGTGTCTAGCCACGGGCAGAGTTGGGGCAGAGAGATGCCAGTGACAGCACAAGAGCTCTGAGGGTCTCAACCCCTTCGCTTTCTAGCTACGTGGCCTGGGGCAGCTGTCTCACGTCCCTGGGTCTTAATTTCCCTGTGTCAGAAATGGGGCTAATGATACCTGTCCTGCTTCCTTGACAAGGCTTTCAAGGAGGACGAGGAGCAAATATAATTATGACTGTGAATGCACTTTAAATGCAGACACAGCGAGTAATTTGAGTCAGAATACAGTGAACTGACTAAGAGCTGGGCCAGTCATCCCATCTCTGAGCCTGTTTTCCTATCTGCAAAATGGAGACCATACCACCAGTTCCGTCCACCTCGCAGTGCTGTTGTAGGGGTGAAATGAAAATCCATCCACGTGGACAGGCGTTGTAAGCATGGGTGTGCTGTGAACGCGGGACCGCATCGGGCCTTATTATTATTCCAAGTGAGGAGGGGCTTCACCGAGCAGGCAGATGCAGGCGGATGAGTAGAAAGTAGGGGAGGAGGTAGAGAGAGGGAGAACATTCTAGGAAATCTCACTGGCCGCTTTTCAGTCCCCTATCTCTGTCCTGCCAGCGGCCTCTGGTCTGAGTGACTAGCTCTTTCATCTGCTCTCCCTCCCACCAAGTGGGATGTTCTTCACAGGCCCGCCCTTGACCTTCCACCTGCAACTCGGTTTAGCACCTCCCAGGAGCCAGTCTCTCCTAAGGGACATAGAAATATGACCACATAAATTAAAAGTTGTATAACACGATAACACAGTAGTCAAGAGGGAGCGAGTTCTTGGGGGAAGGCTTCTTGGAAGTGGTGTTCTCTGAGCTGGTTGTGAGAAATGAGTCAGATTTTGCCAGAAACCCAAGGAACAGGGAGGGCATTTAGGTAGGGAAGACATAGTGTGGCTTCACCTGTTTTCTCTGAGGGGGTGATTCCCACAACTACCTTTCTTCTCTTCAGATATCCAGGCCGATGCCTTCAGCCGCCTGCCAAACATGTACACATTTATCATGCTTCACTTTCAACACAACAGATAACAGTTATAAATGCACACATGTCACCCCTTCCTCCCCAAGAACCTGTCCTCCCTTTGCTTGTTTATGGTCCCATTGATTTCCCCGTCACACATTCAGAATCTCGACTGGCAGCCTTGTCTTACGGCTTTTCCTTACTCACGTGATCACCACCGACTCTTCGCTCCCTCCCTTGCTTTCTTCTGTTGAATCCTGTCCGTACACGTAATTCCTTTTGGACAGTGCGCCCCATAGGCTGCCAAGATGTAATATCCCCATTTGGGTCCTGAAACTGCAGTTTGGATCCCGGTGTCCTTAGGGAGATGCCCCAGAAGCCCACCTGAGGAGCCCTGCCTATGTCTCTCTGGCTTTCCCTTTCAGAACACATTGCCATTTCTCTGTAGCTCTTTATCTTCGTCTTGCGCTTTCCTTTCTTATCCTTCATTCTTTTTTTATTTCTGAGTTTTGGGTTTTTTGTTGTTGTTGTTTTTAGGTTTTTTAGATTGGCCTTTGGAGTCAGACCTGGGCTGGGGTCCCAGTGTATTATTTGCTCTGGAACCTTGGGCCATCTACTTGATCTCTCTACACCTCAGTTTCCTTATCAACAAAATGGGGTAGTAATGGCGCTTACCTGCCAGGGTTGGGGTGAGGATCGACTGGGACAGTCTATGTGAAATGCCTGGCAGTGCTAGCTTGGGCTGCCGTGGCCATCGTCATTGTCATCATCGTCGTCATCGTCATCATTGTCATCGTCATCATCGTCATCATCATCATCGTCGTCATCATCATCATCATCATCGT